TAATCCTAAGGCGAAGTATGGTATCGATCTATGGCCAGTAGTAACACGAATGTGCAAGGCTTTGCTGGTCATTCGAGCAATTGACTCTGGTGGTTGATTGCAGGAAAGTTTCGTTCACGACAGGTGTGCTAAGCAGGTTCCTTTCGTTAGTGATGAATTTGCTTCAAATCACGACAGTGTTCGCGACAGGTGTGCTTGGCAGGTGTCTTTCCTTGCCGATGAATTCTCTTGTTTTAATCAGATTTAAAGGAACAGAAAGACTCTTTTAATTCGTGAAATTCACAGAATGAGCGCTGTTTCCAGTATTTATGTCTGAAATGAGTTATAACAAAAGCTAGAGCACCTAACTGTTAAAATCGAAAAAAAGCACTTTCGCACTTTTTTTTTCGACTGCGAAGCACTTCCGCACTCATAATTTCCTTAGAGTTAACACTGGTGTTAGCACTGCAGTATTTTCGGTTTGCCTGGATCTGTAACAGTTTCTTTGTCTGTCATTTCCAGATTTTTAACAGCATATGGTACTGTACGTAACGCTTATATAGACTATAAATAATCTCCTTTTTATTGTTGTGCATTAATCCAAATAATGGCGTCGTCAGCTTTTGTATATAGCATTCACCACCCGGATTTCAATACAAAAAAAAAACTCAAGATGTGTCACTTGGAAGAATGAGTGGATGAAACATCTCTATGTCCAAAAGTTGAATACCCTGACGTATATTAATATCTCATCAATACATCTGGAATATACACAAAAGAGGCCATGAAAAACAGGAAGAGTTTGGAAGCATACAAACTTGAACCGTTCCAGCGTGCGATGTACAAGCTATTAAAAATTTGACTGTGGAATGTTTTTTGTAACTAGAGTATACTTGAGCTCGGGCAAGTGATCGTTTCGGTCTATTGATGGATATTTCACAGCAGTCTATGATGCCAATCTTGGGAAGTATTGTCGAAAAAGTGATGGTAGTGTTTTAATAATTGCTTCACAGTCCAACAAATCAGAAACGACATTTTGTTTTCGAATATGTCTGCTAACGTATCAAAATGTTCGTTTAAGCGTAGTTTCATGAGGACTCATGAGCATTTTATAATGGCACGAATCTGGCAAACAGGGGCAGAGGAAATTGAACATAACACCAAATGTTTTTACTGGTAAACCAGTATAGTAAATGAATTTTTTGGCTATTTGCTCAAGTTCTTGTAACTGAAAATTTTCTAGTTTTTCCACTGCCTCATTTCTCTCCATTCCAAGCTGCAAACGTTCTGCCTCAAAGTTTTTTAGACAAAAGCTTCATCTTTCTCTTTCCTGATTCGTAAATTTTACTCCTCGTGGAGTAACTCCAATTGATTTTCTTTGGCGGTTGCATTTGACTCACTATGAGATGGAGCTGCAGTATCGACTGGTTCTGGATTTCTATTGAATAGTTCTATTTTATGGCTTTTCGCTTTTTATGCGAACTGTACTGTATATTTATTCATTGTATCCGTTTTTATTTGAACTTGTTTTTGTGATGACAAATAAACTTGAGAATATGTAAAGTTATAAAATCGGCATGATTGCAAGGACATAGTTAATGATATGTCACGTATGAATTTCAGAATAGATTGATTGATATGCACACTTCTATCTTTTGCACTGCTGTATCTGGAAAGTCTTTTTAAATTGGATTTACTTGAGGCGTCCGAATAGTCTGGATGGCAGGGATCTCTAACTGGTTTGCCTAAAAAATAAACTTCTTGCAATTTTTTTAAAATGACAACAACTTAGATACTTTCAGAAATTAAATATTTCAGTTTATTTCACCAATGAAGAAGTGCAGTGGTACAGTGCATAAGTGTAAGTCAGGAAAAAAAAACAATAAAGAGCATTCATTACAAGAGTTTAATAACATATCAAAAATAGAGCAATTCCAGAAATAAAAAAAACTATTGGCAAACATATATTTACTTACCACTGATAAAGTGCTTACCGCAAATGTAGACATTTGGGCCCGCTGGATCCCACGCGTTAGATAGATAGTTTATTTTAAAAACTCCATAACAGACATAAATTAAAGATGGAGAATTCTGGAGAGCAAGCAAAACCAATATAATCTCATGCAAAGATATTGTGGGGAGTGGAATGTAATAAATTGGCAAAGATAGTCATACCCATGAAAGCTTTAAGAAGAACCAAGCCATGAAAAACTACACTGATTGCTAGATGGGGCATTGCGGAAAAGGTGATAAGTGGTTTAATATACAAACAAACGCAAAACCATGACGGCAAATTCAGTGTGCGGACACTCGTAAAAACAATTAACAAGAAAAACAGTAATCACATGTGAACAGGTCTGTAGCCTATAATTATGATAGGATTTACATATTCATCCCGGGGAGAGGAAAGGCGATAAGACGGCTTATCCATATGGCGAACCACGGCCTCTCGTCCGGTTACCATTCCAAGTCGGGTATGGGATTAGATTTACTGTATTGTTTGTTTTCGAAGCATGGACTTGGTGGTGGAGGAAGCCGTAACCGACCAGCGGTTACGTGAACCACCCAACGACGGCGAGGAGTCCAGCAATCCTCTCGCACATAACCATCCCTGCATGGGATTCGAACCTGCGAACCCACGCGGAGTAGTTAGAGGTGCGGTGGCGAGCGTATTCCTAACGCTTAGCCCGTTGAGCCACACCGCCGCGCCGATATATTGACGATATGATATATTGACGTGGCCAGCATTGTTAAAAAAGTATACACACAGAGAGAACAAAACAAAAATGCCATTAAATAAATGTTTAAAAACGTTGCGCATTGATATGGTCATAGTAAGTTACCCTGCAAAATATTTACACATGTTATATAGTTGAATACTCATTTAGTATTCGTTCCATCGCTGTTATTTCTGCGACACGCTGCACACGTTTGTCGCCGTTCACTTCCTATTCAGAGAACCTAAAATATCCTTATTAATATTCGCTTTGTTCCTGCATCCAAAAGCGATACAATATATAGGTATCTTGCACCGGTACGTCAAACAGTAGACAAAAATAATGTAACAAACCTGTAGTCCCGGTTAGCGCGTATACCTGCAGTTTTCGTCGCCTGGTAACCGTTGGTCACGCATGAATGCGTCAGAATTACAGAATATGGCTCATTAGAATGTTGTCTTTCCAGATATGGTAACCCTATGTTCGGCCCACTCAGAAAAGTAATCGTCCACTCCTGACAATATAATCTAAAAACGCAGATACAGTAATAATGTAATATATTTTTTTATTTCAATGATTTTTCCAAGTCCCGGTATACTGTTTTTGTCTCGTATCACTTAATATAACCTAAAATTAAGTCCATGCTACAGTAGCGTTGTGTATTGTTCTGTGACCTTCGGGCCACTGAACCACATAGGCGAAATAAACTGCCAACGGACGTTGTTCGCGTTATGAATGATTCTCTTTATATTCATTTCTCTCTCATGGGGTAATTAGCGAAAAAACTTGTCAAGGTATGAGTCTTGAAAATGTTTTTGATAGTTTTTGCAAGCAGTATACGACAGCTAGCAAGAGATATGATAACACATAGCAACAGCTATGTTTTTTTGAATATGGCAACATATTTTTAGTTGTTTGGTTCAGAGCCCAGTCCAAGTAGGCGAAATTCTAACAACCTGTATAATTTACTTGCTTGGACCGGGTGTACAGGATATTTCAAATTCAACACAATTAGTGTGAGCAACCCTTTGTTAACATCTTCGCTGTCGACCTGTACAAATGTTTTGTAGTCTACTACAACAGCAAGCATTCTGGGAGCTTCTCTAGTTCCGCGAAACGCAAGGTAAGGCTGACGTTGGGTTGCCTTAATGCCATCTTAACCAAATTTGACGACTGCTTGTAGAGCCTGACAATTATATAAATGTTCCATGAGATGAAAGAGGTTTTCCGCCGCATTATGATGACCATTTCTAGCTTCCGCCGTTGCCTTCTCGAAAACTCCTGGCATCTTTTTTGGTAGTGCTTACGTATTCATCGATGTTCTTTATTAAATAGGCCATATCTTCGATAAGCTGTAATATAGAATCCGGTATTAATACTTATAGACGTATGACACGCCTAATAAACAAAAATACGAAAACTTCAAAACTATATCAGACGTACAAAAATCTTCTTGAAAACTGGCATCGTATTTAAACAGAATTATTAAAAAAATAAAATTTAATAGCCAACTCATTTTCATTCATTGTGGATATTGGATCGGTGGACAAAAATATGCACTTCCCACATAATAGTTTTGGTACTATGGAAAAAGACTTCTTGAGCGCTCTGATCTTCTTCTTCCATCAAAGGCAGAAGTGGCTCTGATTCTCTCCATGCTTCTATTTGTTCTCGGTGTTGAATTCTCTATTCCTCTGTTCTCTGATAAATGCTTCAAATTTTGTAAAGTTGCCTCTTGGCTGTTACCCCTCTTCCTTAAATGATACGCTAATTCGTCGTCGATTTTCATAATAGGATATTCCAAATCTAAGTTTTGTGCAATGACAAGTCGTTCCTGTCGGTTTGGCTTTCTGTCCATCAATTGATAACATATGGAATATATATATCTTGTTACTAGGGATGTCCGTATCCGAATACTAAACAATTCTGGAATACTTCTGCAAAAACATTTCGAATATCGTTCAAACCAGTGGTTCCCAAACTTTTTATCTTAATTTCCCACTTTTGATTTGAGCTGATTTCTCCACTTCCCACAAGCTATCGACTACCTTAAATAGAATAATATTCCCGTTAATAATATCCGGTAAGACTTCCTTCTTTAATAGAGGTTTGCAATGGGTTCAGAAATCGAAACCTCGCGAGAACACTTATTATGCCTTCTAGCATCCCAAGATAGTAACGACCCAAGAAAATGAAACTAGTGATATTCAGCAAATAGAACAATTTAATGCTTAAAGAATTCCACAAAAAACGCATCCGAGTTCACATGACAGCGTCAATGCGAATTTTGCGTTTTTTTTTTTTTCATACGATAGACTGGATGTCGGGATTTATTTTCGAAATTGCGCATCGCAAATCCGATTCCAAGTCTAGTAATCTGTTCCGAGCTTTTGTTTTTAAAGCAACAACGCTTGAAAATGCTGATTTGCTTAGGTACGTGGAGGGAAATGCTGTCAATAATTTTAATGGATTTGCAGTAATTTTCGGATATGCGTTTTGCATCTTTGCCCAGAATTTACCAAGTGTTTCATCTTCAAAAGAAATTTTGGCAGACGAATCGTGAATCATTTCCAAGAATTCTTCTTGGTTATCTTCTTCATCCTCGGAAAAGTCTTCAACAGGAAATCTGAAAGGATTCTTTGTGAACGCCATTACAGGAGTGTCATGCTCGAAACCGGGAAAGTAGCGATGGAATTCTCCAATCAGCATGGTAAAGTGATTGACAGCTTCACTTTAAAAAACGTCGCAAATACCAGTCGTCTCAAACATTCGATTTAATGTTGGAAACGCTGTTCCACTCCGACCAACTTGCATCTTCATTTTCCAGAGATTTAGTTTTGCGATAAAAGCAACAATTTTGTCTCTTTGTCCAAGTATATTTGAATCTGCTCCTTGTAACTTACGATTTAGTTCGTTCAAATGACAAGACATGTCCGCTAGGAACGCCAATCTAATTAGAAACAACTCGTGGGAAATTTCTGCCGTAAAATTTTTTTCTGTCGAGCATCAAGAAACACCACAACCTCTGGTAGTAAGTGCACAAGTCGAGTCAACATCGTTCCTTTCGAGAGCCAACGCACAAAGGTATGGAACAATAAGGAATCATACTGAGATTCCATATCCTGACAGAGCTTTTGAAAAAGTCGAGTATTTAGAGCGCTCGATTTTACGTAATTCACGATTTTAATTGAACAATCCAGAGGTTGTTGTTTGAGTGGGGGCGGCATTGCTCTTGAGGCTAACGCCTCTCGGTGTATGATACAATGCGTCGCAATAATATTAGGGTTTTTTCTTTTGACAAGTTCTACAAACCCAGACCGCACACTTAACATAGAGGGCGCCCCATCTGTACATACACTTCCAAGTTTACCCCAATCCAGTTGTTCATCATTAATAAATTTTTCGATAAGCTCCATCACATCCACAGCCTTTGTAGTTTTTGGGACACGTTTAGTGGACATAACGATCGTTTCAATATTATGTTGTTATTGTTTGTCTCCATCATTTTTAAAAAATCGCTTTTCTCTTCGAATATTGGACCAATTGCTTTGAAATTTTCAGTGAGTAAAGATTGATTTTTTTGCCAGAAGGCTATTACTTTTATTTATTTCTAAATTTCGCATGAAATCTGATATTTCGTCTAAAATTTCGCTGTATTATTTTATCCATGGGAACACTGGCTGTCCGGTTTGATTCTGTAAATTATTTTCTACGCAAAACTCGGAATTTTTTGTGGGTACCGGTGGCGTCAAAGGTAAATACTGCTTCGCTCTAGTTAACGTGTCCATATATTTGAGCACAGCTCTCTTGTTTCTAATGGGCGGCAAAATAGAAATTCCTCCTCAATAGTTTGATCGTGAATATAGCGAACAAAAATCATTAGTTGGGAAAAGTTAACGACATCGACCGACTCGTCAATTTGTATTCCGAACCAGGGTGAATCTCTGACATTTGTTATCAACTGATCTTTGATATTGAATGCCATATCTCCGATGCGGCATTTAATAGTGTTATTCGACAAGGACACCTGACTCATCTTTGACGCCGCAGAATTGCTTAGTAGAATATCCGCACACTCCACCAGACAAGGCTTTATCAATGTCTCACCGATGTTATGGGGATTTTTGGTCCTCGCTATTCGCAGGGCAACTGCATAAGACGCAGTCACTATCGCCTTTGAACTCATTTGAAATTGTCCCATGCTGTCGAATCTCATCTTTTTCACATGTTTGCTCTAAGTTCGAAGAAGCTGCGATCTTTGTTAGCAAACTGAGGATGGATCTTTGAAAGATGTTGCTTCAGGTGATGAGGCTTCGTAGAACCATTGGAAAAGGTTTTAAAGCAAACAACACATTGCGGCAGTTGTTCAGAAATTTTCTCTACAAACGTGAATCCGTAAGCGAGATAGCTATAATCGTACTTCCTTTTTACATTAGCCATCACCTTTTATTGAACGTTTAGCTTTGAGCAGAATGACGCCACGACCAGCTATTTTTCATATGCGTGTATGCCTACCCACCCTATCTTCGGTACGTATGAAAATAGACTGACGCGCTTTACAGCACTGCAGCGAAAAACCTTTTGCGCAACCATTATAGTGCGTCATCGTCATGGTACCCTCAATACCTTTGTGAAGTCACAGATATAGGTACTCCTATGAGACATGTTTGTGAGGTCATTATCAATCGTCCAGAGATCGAGATGAGACAATGCAAATATCATGGCCCGACAACATATTTACAACGAGTTTTATCGAAATTTTGAGTAATCGAGGCAGAATGGGGAATCTCTTTCCACTTCTTGTCATTTTCAGTTTGTAATATTTTTTAATAGAGCTATTGTACGTACATATTACTTTATTTCCCAACATAGGTGGGTGAAATGAACATGTGACATATGCCTAAGTCTGCCAAACTGAACCGATGCAAATCACTGAAATAATGGGGAGCATTCTGGAAAAAAGTAAACATGCTGTTGTCATTACAAACTTGTAAGGACTGGGGAGCTGGTTCGTAATCACAGTGGCTTTGGCTACAGCTCCGAAGCCACAATTTCTTTTTTTTTAAATCTCAGAGCTGGGTGTGAGCTCAGACTTCATACCTATAGAGGTTTTTAAGGTTGATAAAAAGCATGAAATATCAGCCCAATTGAAGTTTGATGGAAGTGGGACTCAAAAGTATGATAGAAGTTTCAATATATAAATTCAACTTAAGATTTTAAATCAATATAATTGTATTGCAGTTTATAACAATTTACAAGCTGAAAAAAGTAGATTTTAGTATTATTTGTATGCAGTAATAGAAAATTATAGATATCAAAAAATATCTAGCGGGTTCGGAGGAGGAGCCACTAAAATTTCTGGTAGCTCGGCTCCAGCTCCATGGTTCCGGACTCCCCAGCCCTGCTTGTAAAACAAAGATGTTGAAATCAATCAAATCAACACACTTTCGAAATCAAGAAAATGAAAGAGAATTTTTTTGAAATGTATGTGCACACTTGAACGTTTTTTTTATAATAAATCATGGTCGCATGTTTAATCTGGTTCAAAGTTTGCCTGTTGTAAGGCCGGCATTTGAGAACACTCGTTCTGCTGGTGCAGATGTTTGGGTATGCAGAGATATTTTTTGCAAGAGCAAATAAATACTCTGCCTCTGCACGGTTTTCAGTGTCAGATTTCCCAGCTTGCTCGTGATTCATCTCCTTCTTTTCAAGTGTAACTTTAAACTGCAAATATAAATGCACTAACATTACGATAGAACAACTTGGTATAACATTTTTGTCCTATAACTTCGTTACCCGTAAGATCGGCAAGGGCAGGTTTCATGAGTTATACGATACTGCGCCAAATCAAAAAGTGACATCATCAAAGTGTAGCCTTATGCCAGACATCTATTACCGCTGTATATTTTTGTAAGCTATATTCCGGCATCTTTCGGGAAAAGGTTACAAAACTTGTACCTGGATCTGTAAATTGGGTCCAGAAACGTGGCCAGTTTATATACATCATCGGGCACATCACAAACTGTCTACGACCTGGCAGGTTGCAGGCACATAGGTTTTTATGCCAGGGCCTGCCCAGAAATGGCATGTAGGCAGGGGTGGCCAATTCGAATAAAGTATTCGAATATCTCGTCATTCGAATATCGGAATTCACGTTCATAAGAATATCGGATATTTGTGTGACGTCACACATTTTCGACGCCGCTTTCAAGACGTTTCCGTTAAATGAAAACATTCTCGATAGAACCTTGCACGTGATTGTTTTCATCACTCATCAGCGTAACGTGTTATTTAAGCCCGTAAACGCCTTTACAATTGTGTTATTTTCTCTAAAACGAAATTTTTCCACAAATTTGTTCCACGATAACATTTATTTTATTTTTGTACACGCACGGAATTGTGAATCTGGTAAATACGTTCATCGGCGGCGATTTTCTAAAGGCAACGCAACTTTTCTAAAGACAACGCAACTTTTTGATTGAAAAGCGGCAATTTGAAATACTGAAAATAAACCGTAAACAATATAAGTTTTATGAGGCCACGAAAAATTTAAAAAACGCTTTTCTAGGCAGTGAAAATCGCAAAATTTCATGTGCCTCTGGCACACATTATGTTTGGTCGGCATTTAGAAACATATGGTCACTAATTGAGGGCGGGATTTGACTGATTATCCATTACTTTAAATTGCTGTCGAATATTTTCGTGTTAACACGATACAAGGTTTGAAACGCGACTTTTTCCCGGGTTGTGAGGAAGTATATAATATAATTAATCTAAAGTATATTCAATCGATTTTATTTTGATGAAATAATTTTTACTCTTGAGATATTACAGCATATTTATGGATTTTTCGAACGGTTTTATCTAAAAATAATCCGAGTGGCAGCATTTCGATCGAGCGGAGTCACCGTTAACAAGTACATCTAAATATTTGCTGAATTCGCCAAATACGTATTAAAACAATATTTAACCGGACAGTTTACCTCACGTTTTTATTTTTATGACCGCGGATTGCAATGGTATATAAGAGTGGTGAGGATTTTATTTTGTCGACGCAACCGCAGGTTAAATTGAAGACAATTAAATAATAAAGCAAGACATTTTAAATATGCCCGTGTCGGTCACGAATTCATCACTTTGCACAACAGAAAAATATTATTCGTTGTTATATTATTTGTTTGTAAAAGTCGACTCTTTTAACAGGTGGCATAATCGCGGCGCATGAATATGTATTTTAATTTACTGCTAAACTTTATATGTATATTCATTGTATGAAATGAATTATACTCTACACTTAACAGGATTTTATATAACTATTTGAGATTTTTCTAACGGCGATAACGAGTTGGCAAGATTGCAAAAATACGTATAAAAATTAAATACATCAGGCAGTTTATCTCGTAATTGCAGGTCACAGATCGCCGTGGACCGAATAGTAATGTTCCTTTTTCTGACTTAAGAAGAAGCAACCGCGAGTCACGTTGGACACAATAAATTAATATATAAAGATATTTTAGAATCTCGTAGTTGTCATGGATTGAATAATTTACGTAACAGAATGATCATTATACGCTGAAAAGACGGCTCTTTTAACGAGCGCGGAATCGCGGTGGGTGTACAGGCGGCAATGGAATTTCCGATTTCGAAAATCTGGCTGCGCGCTGGCAGTGGTGATGATCTATTCTCTACTAATTTATTTCTAATTCCAA